TGAGGAAATCCAGAGAATCATCAGGTCATACTTTGAAAACCTGTACTCCTCAAAATTCAAAAATCTAAAGGAAATGGACAATTTTCTGAATAGATATCACTTACCAAAATTTAAATAAAGAACAGATAAGCAATGTAAATAGACCTATAACCCCTAATGAAATAGAAGCAGTCATCAATAGTCTCCCAACCAAGCCAGGCGGTGGTGGCACATGCCTTTAATCCCAGCACTCGGGAGGCAGAGGCAGATGGATCTCTGTGAGTTCGAGGCCAGCCTGGCCTACAGAGCAAGTTCCAGGACAGGCTCCAAAACAATACAGGGAAACCCTGTCTTGAAAAAAAAAATCTCCCAAGAAAAAAAAAAAAGCCCAGGTCCAGATGGCCTCAGTGCAGAATTTTACCAGAAATTCAAAGAAGAGCTAATACAAATTTGCCTCAAAGAATTCCACACAATAGAAGCAGAAGGGTCATTTTGCCGAACTCTTTTTATGAGGCTTCAATAACCTTGATACCCAAGCCACACAAAGACACAACTAAGAAAGAGAACTTCAAACCAATACCCCTCATGAACATTGATGCAAAAATAATAAAATACTGGCAAATCAAATCCAAGAACACATCACAAAAATTATCCACCATGATCAAGTAGACTTCATCCCAGGAATGCATGGATGGTTCAACATATGAAAATCTATCAACGTAATCCACCATAAAAACAAACTGAGAAACAAAAATCACATGATCATTTCACTAGATGTTGAAAAAGCCTTCAACAAAATCCAATACCCCTTCATGATAAAGATCTTGAAGAGATCAGGGATAACAGGAACATACCTAAACATAATAAAAGCTATATACAGCAAACCAATAGCCAACATCAAACTAAATGGACAGAAACTCAACACAATTCCTCCAAAATCAGGAACAAGACAAGGCTGTCCCCTCTCTCCATACCTCTTCGATATTGTACTTGAAGTTCCAGCTGGAGCAGTAAGACAACAAAAGGAGATCAAGGGGATACAAATTGGAAAAGAAGAAGTCAAACTTTCACTATTTGCAGTTTACCTAAGTGCCCAGAAAAACTCTACCAGGCAACTCCTAGAGCTGATAAACACCTTCAGCAAAGTGGCAGGATACAAGATCAACTCAAAAAACTCAGTACCCTACTATATACAGACAATAAATGTGCTGAGAAAGAAATCAGAGAAACATCACCCTTTACAATTGCCACAAACAACATAAAATACCTTGGGGTAACGTTAACCAAACAAGTCAAAGACCTATATCACAAGAACCTTTGAGTCTTTAAAGAAAGAAATTAAAGAAGATACCAGAAAATGAAAAGACCTCCCATGCTCTTGGATAGGTAGGATCAATGTAGTAAAAAGGCAATCTTGCCAAAAGCAATCTACAGATTCAATGCAATCCCCATCAAAATCCCAGCACAATTCTTCACAGACCTTGAAAAAACAATTCTCAGCTTTTTATGGAAAAACAAAAGATCCAGGATAGCCAAAACATCCTATACAATAAAGGAACGTCTGGAGGCATCACCATCTCTGACTTCAAGCTCTATTATATAGCTATAGTCCTGAAAGCAGCTTGGTATTGACACAACAATAGACAGGTAGACCAATGGAATCAAATTGAAAACCCTGATATTAACCCACACACCTATGAATACCTGATTTTTGACAAAGAAGCTAAAACTATACAATGGAAAAAAGAAAGCATACAATGGAAAAAAGAAAGCATCTTTGACAAATGGTGCTGGCATAACTAGATGCTGGCATGTAGAAGACTACAGATAGACCCATATCTATTGCCATGAACAAACTTAAGTCCAAATGAATCAAATACCTCAACATAAATCCAGCCACACTTTGAACTTCTTAGAAGTGAAGGTAGGTACTCGAATGAATTGGTACAGGAGACTGCTTCCTGAACATAACACCAGTAGCACAGACATTGAGATTGACAATTAATAAATGGGACCTCCTGAAACTGAGAAGGTTTTGTAAGGCAAAGGACACAGTCAACAAAACAAAACGGCAACCCACAGAATTGTAGCCAGCTGCCAGTGTGTTTGCAGCTACAGTGCTACCATACTTCACAACGATCCGAGGCTAAGGGCTAAGAATGAAAATAAAGACAAAGACAGCGGCTCATTCTTACAAGGAGAATGGCATTTATTATTACAAGGGTAGAGCCTTATATACCAAAGTCAGGTATGGTGGAAAAAACACCAAAGTCAGAAGCCTATGTTCCCAGGGCCCTCCAGCAAAGGGGTGGGCCAAAAACAAGAATTAGCATTTAGACAATAAACAGGAACTTGCATGCAGGCCTTACTGGGAGTAGGGGATAAGATGTTTTGCTAAAAGCTCCTAGTAACAAGCGGTCAACAGACCCCCACACGGGAAGGATGCAACACAGAATGGGAAAAGATATTCACCAACCCCACATCTAATAGAGGGCTGATTTCCAAATATACAAAGAACCCAAGAAGCTAGTCACCAAAACACCAAATAATCCAATTAAAAAGTGGGGTACAGAACTAAATAGAGAATTCTCAATAGAGGAGTTTAAAATGACTGAGAGACACCTAAGAAAGTGCTCAACATCCTTAGCCATCAGGGAAATGCAAATCAAAACAACTCTGAGATACCATTTTACTCCTGTCAGAATGGCTGAAATCAAAAAATGCCAATGTTGGGGAGGATGTGGTGAAAGGGGAACACTCCTCCACTGATGGTGGGAGTGCAAACTCGTACAGTCACTTTGGAAATCAGTATAGCAGTTCCTCAGGAAAATGTGAATCAGTCTTCTACAAGATTCAGCAATCCCACTCTTAGGCATATACCCAAAAGATGCACATTCATACAACAAGGACATTTGTTCAACCATGTTTATAACAGCATTATTTGTAATAGCCAGAACCTAGAAGCAACCTAGATATCCCTCAACTGAAGAGTGGATAGAGAAAATGTGGTACATTTACACAATGGAGTACTTACTACTCAACGGAAAAAACAATGGACTCTTGAAATTCGCAAGCAAATAGATGGAACTAGAATAAATCATCCTGAGTGAGGTAACCCAGTCACAAAAAGACAAAAATGGTATGAATTTTACACATAGAGCAAAGGAGTACCAGCCTACAATCCACACCACCAGAGAAGCTAGGAAACAAGAAGGACCCTAAGAGAGACATACATGGTCCCCCAGAGGGAGAAAGGGATAAGATCTCCTGAACTAATTGGGAGCATGGGGGGAGGGGAGAGGGAGTTAGAAGAAAGAAAAGGAGAAGAGGAGGGGAGAGGAGGACAGGAGAGAGCAGGAAGATGGAGTCATGGGACGAATAGAGATACCATAATAGAGGGAGCCATTATAGGTTTAAAGAGAAATCTGGCACTAGGGAAATGTCCAGAGATCTACAACTAATTATCTAAGCAATAGTCGAGAGGCTACCTTAAATGCCCTTCTCCGATAATGAGATTGATGACTACCTTATATGCCATAGAACTGTTCCAGACTCCCCGAATGAGGATGTCAGTTTGGAGGTCTGGTAATCTATGGGGCCTCTGGTAGTATTTATCCCTCAGACACAAATGGACTTTGGGAGGCCACTCCACATAGATGGATACTCTCTCAGCCTAAACACATGGGGGAGGGACTAGGCCCTGCTCCAAATGATATGACAGACTTTGAAGATCCCCCATGGAAGGCCTCACCCTCCCTGGGGAGCAGAAAGGGGGTGGGATAGAGGGTTAGTGGGGGGCAGGGGAGGAGGGGAGGGAGAGGAAACTGGAATTGACATGTAAAAGCAGCTTGTTTCTAATTTAACTTAAAAAATGGGAGGAAAAAAAAGAAGCTAAGACTAGATAGGTCATGGACTATAGGGAAAACCTATTGCTACTATTCTGTTAAACAAACATAGAAATAAAATGAGTCCTAATGACACATTGCTACACCTGCAGATCAGTGCATCACTCTATTCTCATCAGAGAAGCTGCTTCTCGTGGTAGATGGTAATTACCACGGAGATTCAAATCTAGACCACTTGCAGACAGTGAGAAGACTGGAGTCAGCACAGGACACACCATGACCAAGTTCTCAGCACAAAGATTTATTTGCCTCAGAGGGACGGAGGGCAGTGAATAAGAAACAAAGACAGGAGACTGAGGATGAAAGAGAAGGGAAGAGAATAAGGAAGAGGGGAGGGGAAGGGCTATTTGCCCTGGAGAAACAAAGGGCTGCCTCTAGATAGAGGAGACAGATGTGGCCCATAGGCAAAAGGCAATTTATAAAGGGAAAGGGAAAAACATTGTGTTAGGATGAGTTGTTTTTGGGGGGGGTATGTTAATTAGGGCAGCCAAAAGGATGCTTTTGATGGCTGGACTTCAATACTTTGATAGCTGGACCTTGGTGGTCAGTGTTAGGAGGAGGAAGTGGCCAAATAAGGAAACAGACCTTAGTGACTAGCTTTAGGGATGTACGGGCGTGAAGAGCAAAAGGCAAAACCTGTCAGCATCATGCTTGCTGTGATGCTTGGGCCTGTTAGAGCCCTTCAGACAGTAAGAAACTTTGGAGTGCTCAGTCTTTCTCACATCCATCCCGTCAAGGTTCAGGGATCTATGGGAAAGAGGGAACAGAAAGACTGGGAGAGCCAGAGGTGGTGGATGACTTGAAGGAAACAGCATTTTCCAGACACACAGAGTGGATGCACACATGCATTCAGAGAGACTGTGATGGCATTCACAAGACTGCACAGATTCCAACCAGATGAAAAACCCAACAGGGAAGGGAAAGTGGGCACAAAGTCCCCACCCTGAGAGGAGTTGGGGGAGGGAAAAGAATATGATCAAAATATACTGTGTGAAACTCTCAAAGAATAAATAAAAATATTTTAAACAGAATAAAAAGATTTATTTTATGCATATGAGTACTTTACTGTTACTCCCACCAGGCGAGAATAAGAACATTACACAATTTTCAGTCAAATTGAAGCAAGCTTTAATTAAATATTGGCCGGGATAATGGCCAGGTCCATTCCTGGGTTACCAGAAAATGAGTCACATTTTGCAGAGACTTAAAAAGACAAAACTGTAAGGCCACCATATTTTCCATCCTTCCAATCGGGGGGCAAGCATGTATCCTGGTGTGCTTCCTGCCTGTGTACCTCCTGCCCACATCCAATCAGGGGCAAGCATACACATTCTGACTTATTCCCTGCCCACATACCTCCTGCCTACATGTAGTCAAGCACATTCGGTGGAACTGAGTAAAAAAAAAATTGTCGAGGGGATAGAAATCATGTGGTTTATTATCTCCCATAAAAACAACAGCCTCCAGCATTCTAGGAAGTTATCTGTCCTTGGACAAGTGAGGTTTACAGGTTAGCTTTTGCCTTTGCATTACCTGCATGTATGTCTGTGTACCAGAGAGGCCAGAAAAGGGCATTCTCTGGAACTGGAGTTACAGATGGTTGTGAGTTGTGTGTGAGCTGCAAGCTGCCATGTGGGTGCTGTGAATCAAGCCCAGGTCCTCTGGAAGAGCAGTTAGCAGCCCCTAGCGAAGATAATCTAAAGATAGAGCTACAAAGTGAATCTTGTCTCAATAAAAATAAATAGACAGACAGATAAAAGATAGTCTCAAGAGATACTTATATTCCTCAGTGCTGGTTTTTGTCATAAACTAGAGACACCTAAGAAGAGGGACCCTCAGTTAAGGGATTATCTCCAACAGATTGGTTTATGGGCATGTCTGTAGGGCATTTTCTTGATAGCTAATTGATGTAGGAGGGCCCATCTTCACTGTGGTCAGCACCACCCCTAGACAGGTGGGCCTGGGCTATAAAAAGTTAGCTGAGCAAGCCAGAGAGCAAACCAATTAGCAGTATTCCTCCATTGGTTTCTACTTCAAGCTCCTGCCTGAGTTCCTGCCAACTCCCCTAGATGGTGGACTATAGCCTGTAAACTAAAATAAAACCTTTCCTCCCCAAGTTGCTTTTGCTCAGTGTGTTTATTTATGGCAACAAGGAAGTATACTATAACATCCTCCCTTCAGCTATCAAATTACTGAAATAATGAGCCTGAAGAAATGAAATTTCCCCAGACATCTGGTGGGGATAGGGGGGAAATCTGAAGAAGATCGGTGCCACTAGAGGAGGAATTTTTCTCCCAGTTCTGACAACTTGTCAGGCCACCTTGCAAGCCAGACAAGAGCCAATGATGGGTCAATGATGGGCCACACCACACCTTGAGCGGACTGCTTAGTTATCAACACCTATTGTCCTCTACTCAAATCTGAATCACATGTCAGTACCCCAAGGAAGGACTTGGGCCAGGCAGTGGTGGTGCATGTCTTTAATTCCAGCACTCAGGGAGACAGAAGCAGACAGATCTCAGAGTTCAAGTCCAGTCTGGTCTACAGAGCAAGTTCCAGGACAGTCAAAGCTACACAGAGAAATCCTGTCTTGAGCAGTTCTACTTCCTCCCTCCCAAAAAAGGACCTGAGAGGGATTGTCGATGATCTCTTCCTACGGTGGCCACACTGAATAAATCTCCTTCCTCTGCTTTTCACTATGGCTTGTCTCTTTACCAAGTGTCTTGAGAGCTTGTTAGGGTGGTCAGGACCCAGGCTTTGACCTCTAGTAACATGAGGTCAACTGAAGCTGCTGTTGAGGATGGATATGGCTCATTAAAACCCAATAGAAACGATGTGGTATTTCTGCACAATGGAGCAGAGGAACGAGCCTGGGCAACAGTTGCCATGAAGAATAGAGGGGAACCACAGAAATGGGGAAAGCCAGCAGAGGGAAATCCCAAAGTCTTTGTACAAATTCAGTCCACAGTTCTGGCAAAACAAATTTGGTTAGAATAAAAGCATTTGGCAGCTAAAGAATGAAACTAAGATCAGCTGTCCACAACAGTTTGCAGTTTGAACCTGAGCTCATGGCCTGGTGGAACAAAGACAGAAAACTCATTAGAGCAGTATGGTAGAATCTAGAGTCACCACAATATAATATTCATAGTGTGCAAGACACAATCCAAAATGACTCAACGGGAAGCAGTAGAGACCAGCTCTGAGGTGAACCAGATAACGGCATCACCAGAGAAGAACTTTAAAGCAGCTCCTGTAAAAACAAAAACCCAATCAGTGAGATGGTTCTCTGGATTGAGGCACTTGACCCCATGCCTAAAAGCCCGAGTTCGATCACTTGAGCCCACACAGTGGAAGAAGAGAACCAACTTCCTGCAAATTGTCCTCTGTCCTCCATATGCTGTGATATAAATAAATAAATAGATAAATAAATAAATAAATGTGAAAAGTCGCCCTCACATCTGAAGTCTGCTACAGACCTTCCTGAGGGATCAAACATATAGATCAGGCTCTAAAATTTTGCTCATCCAAGAACCCAAACGTCAAGTGACCTGCCATGCCAGGTCAGGTTCCATATCCATGGACATGTGGTTTTTCAGGTAGAGTTAAATGCAGAAGTCAAAAGACACAGCTCAGGCAATGATGGAGGCCAGAGAGCTATGTGCTGCTTTTGCACCTGTCTCCCATAAGGCAGTGATGCACAACACAGCAGCCATATATCACACTAACCTCAGTTCAAATTCCAGCCCTGTCACTCAGGACATGAAGCCCAGCAACTGTGGGATTGACAAGGCCAAGACACTGCTCATGTATGATGGTGAATCTTAATTGTTAATGTGACTGAATTTGGAATCACCTAGATTAAGGAGGGGGGGGTGTGGGTGTATGTGTGTGTCTGTCCTACAAGCCCTGTATCCTACAAACACCTATAACTCCAGCTCCAAAAGAGGTAGAGACAGGGAGTACAGGGTCCCAGCCCCAGCTGAAATACAAATCCTGTATTCAAAACTTTTTTAGGGGTTTTCTTCTTCCCCTTTCAAGTCTCATGGGATGGTGATGCTGCATTCAGAATAGGTCTTCCTCCTCAGTCAACTCTGGAAATGCACACACGGAAGTGTGCCTCCTTAATCTCCTAGGTGATTCCAAATCAGTCTCATAATTAGATTAGCTATCAGACCATTAGCCTGAGCATGGCTCGGCCTTGTCAATCAATCTTTAGATGTGGTGGTACACTCCTTTAATCACAGCCCTTAGGAGACAGAGGCAGGAATACCTCTGTAAATTCAAGGTCAATTTGTTCTACATAGCAAGCTCCAGGATAACCAGTGCTGCATAGAGAAACCTTGTTTCAAAAAAAAATCAGAACAAAAAGAAAAAAAAGGAGGAGGAGGAGGAGGAGGAAGAGGAATAGGAGGAGAGTGACACAAAAAGGCATTCAACTGTACACACACACACACACACACACACACACACACACACACACATGCGCATGTAAGTAAATAAATCTTTTTAAAAGGTTTCTTATAAAAAAGGAGAAGATCAGAACCCCTGCCTTGAAAAATGGTACACACACTTGATAGATGAACTACAAATATCAAAGGAGTCAGAACTCAGGGCAAGGGGGAATGGAGAGATGGCTCAGTGACTAAGAGCAAGTACTACTTTTCCAGAGGATGCAAGTTCAGTTCCTAGTATCTATCTCAATGGCTCACAACCACCTGTACCTCCTGGATATATGTCTGTGCACCACAAGCATGCCAAGTGCCTGTGGAGGTCAGAGGAGGGTATAACATCTCCTGGGACTGGAGACAGTTGTAAGCTGTTATGTGGGTGCTGGGAATTGAACTCGAGTCCTCTGGAAGAGCAGTCAGTGCTCTTAACCCCTGAGCCATCTCACCACCACCATTCTGTTTTAAAGAATTTAGGGCAAATCCAGACCTCATTTACTAAAAAACAGTAACAGGAACTCAAAAGATCAAAGTCAAAGCCATGTTCTTTAACTGGAATCAATGGTGAGAAAAGGGAAGGCATGGGCAATGTATTTAGAAAAAATGTATTTAGAAAAAAATCTTCTACATACCAGTGTGACCCTAGGTATATAGTGTGGAGTTAAGCTGTATAATGTGGATTCCAGGATATGTACTAGGGTATTGCCACTCATGGCCAACCATGGCCAACTTTCAAAAGGCTTGTCACCACCCATAGCTATCTTCAAGTCAGTCTTGAAATGCACCACAAGGAGCAACCAAGACTGCGTGTGGAAATCTGCAAGTCCAGCTGTGGGAGGCCAGGGGAAAAGGTGTGAGGAAGGACAAGATGACTTCTGAATCCCTTACTTCATATCTAGTAAGACTCCCAAACTTTTCCTGAGTTCATCTTTAAATGGCATTTGCAAATCATTGAGGTACTAAGTAATGCAATAATCTCCACCCTTGAAGTGGATGTTGTCTACACGCTGGTGGCAGCATTTGCTTCTTGTCTGACAAGCAAATCTTTAATTCAGACACAGTCAGTGTTGAAACTCAGCCAATTCCCCTGCCTGGAGTGGCTGTGTTTCTGATTTTTCGTAGTAGATTAAAATGCCGCCAGCTCTTTCTTCCAAGTGAGTTCCATTACAATCACAGATGTGTGCCTGACACTAATGTGATGGGTCCAGGTTCTTGCCTGGTACTGACCTGCCTCATCTGAAGGTGATGAGTAAGACGAAAATAACCTCCAGGAATCCCAACAGATCTTTTTTTTTTTTTTTTTTTTTTTTTTGGTTTTTATGAGACAGGGTTTCTTTGTATTGTTTTGGAGGTTGTCGGTCCAGCCTGGCCTCGAACTCACAGAGATCCGCCTGCCTCTGCCTCCCGAGTTCTGGGATTAAAGGCGTGTGCCACCACCGCCCGGCCCCAACAGATCTTAAAAGGGGGGATTCTTTTGTTAAATAAAAGGTAATGGAAGAAAGGAATCTTAATGCATGTGCTGGCTGGGGAGAAGAAACAAAACTACATTGTGTATGATGTGAGCAAGAAGATATGAACAAGGAAGACAGAAAGGGTAAAAGAGATATCTAGGGGACAAAAGATCAGACAGAAATACAAGAGACTGACCAACAAAAATAAATCCCAGGTGATGCCCAAACCAGAAGACACCAAAGACTGGAGATGTCTGCCATTCATTATGGTTTCTTTATCCACCTAATGTCCCTTCCCCAGCACAGGGGAAGCTGGACCTGTGCCCACACGCTGGCTGGATGTGTTCTTAGAAAAAAGTGGAGGGAAGTGTGTCCTGCTCTACATTCACTCCTCACAATGAAATGGGCTGCTCTGTGTCTGCCCAGTACATAGTCTTCCTGAGAGTGTGTGTCTCTGGACTTTTACCAAGCCTGACTGACCAAAAAGATTAGTCCCAGATGTGGCCTACACACACACACACACACACACACACACACACACACACACACACACACACACACACACACACACACACACACACGACCAGACGGAGTCACATCTCAAGACTGCTAAGGGACAAAGAAAGATATTCAATCTTACTAGGGCTGGCTGAGTTAGAATGAAAAACTTAGCCTGAGGTTTTGTCCCTTTCACCAACCTCTACACGAAGTAAGTCCATCACTGGGGAGTGGGGGGTGACCTAGGCAACATACAAAAGAAACAGTGATTAAAATTAGATTGTAAAAAGAATGTGTATGTGTGTGTGGGGGGGGGGTGATTTCTGCACAAGACAAAGGTTATTAAATAAAAAAATCTCAGTTCTGGGCATGGGATCAGGGATCCCCACAGGCTCTCAAAAGAACCCTGGCAATGCTCTTGGCTGGCCATTATTACTAGATGGCAAGATAATATTGCCAAAGACATATAAAGTTTGGTTGTGGCACATAGAGAAATAAACAGGGAACTAAGCTGGAAACTTCCTCCCTATTGGCTAGCTTTCATAGAGCTAGAAGGTGCTATTCACTTCTGTCCACTGCAGGAGAAAAGACACCAAAAGTCTTACCCAGCACTGAACACTGAATGATACAATACTGACCCTGGCAGGCAGGATGTGGCTATTGGTGCAATGGTGGCATGGTGCTATTGGGGTAACCAACAGCTTTCTGATTGGCTCTTAGGCTTACTCTCCAGAAGGGAATTCATACCTGATATTGTAAACCTGGTCAAACTCCTAAGTGTAGTGAATGACTCAACAGATCCACTGTGTCAGCATGAATTCTGGAGTGATGGCACCAAGGGTTTGAAACAACCTTTAGTTTGAAGTCAGTGATTGTTACCTGAATTACTCTTTGTAGAGGAATTTCAGAACCTTTGCATAACTTAGTCGTGAGACTAACCTAGCAAACAGGAAGTCTCATGTGGCTGAGAATTGCTTATGTACTGGTTCCTTCAAACAACTCCAGATAGAGGTTTTTGTATGCAGAAATTGGTTTGCCAAAAGTGTCTCTGTGTAACAATAAAGGGGCTTTTGCAAAGCCACGCACGTGATAGTCAGTTCATCAGAAGCTGACTCCCTGCTGCTGCTGCTGCTGCTGTATAATCGGTAAAACATGCTGGAGTGACTCTCTTTCTTCCACTGACCCATGTAACACAGAACACTGACACCTATGGCAGAGCTGGAGAGATGGGTCAACAGTTAAGAGCATTTGTTTTCGAAGAGATCCTAGGTTGGATTCCTAGCACTCCACAAAGACAACTCACAACCATCAGTAACTCCAGTTCTGAGAGATTATATGCCATCTTCTGTTCTCCTCAGATACCACCCATGCATGTGGTGCACATACAGGTAAACAAAACATTCACACACATAAAATAAAAAGTAAATTTTATTTTTTGTTTTCTAAAGGCTAAGAAGATTATAGACTGTAGTATAGGAAACCCAATATATTTATATTTATACCCATAGAATAGTACTGTTCTAGATCTTGGTTGGAAAAGCTTCTTTTTGCAGTGGACAAGAGTTAATGCAGAGACTCATAATTAGTCAAGCAGCTAAGAATACATGACTGTGGTGTGCTCAGCCCTAAATGGAACACCTATATTAATCCCAGCAATGCTCTGAGAGTGTGGTAGAAGGAGAGGGAGGGAAGAACACAAAAGCTGAAGGATGGGGAGAGGTGTTGTGCAATGCTGTCTTCTGTATATGACACAGTGGTTGTTCTCATGAACTCACAGCAGTTGTGGTTTTCTGCACAAGACAAGTAAAGCTAGTGGTGCCTGTGTGTCTTCCCTCGGGTGTGGTTATGCAGTGAAG